ATGAATTTAATTCTTGCTTGTATTTCACCTTTATGGAACGAGAATATTTTAAAGGATATAGATGCTTTCCTTACAGAGCAGCAGGAGGTCATTTCATTAATATGTGAAGCATAGATCCTGCTTTCACATGATCTTTCTTGTGATAGGTATTCTGTAACAATGCCTCCCTTGTTTGGTGAGACAACAGTGGTAAAAAGTCTCCATCAACTGGAAGTCAAACACTCTTAAACATGAGCCATGCTAGCTCAAAACACCTATTTCATGTTAGTTCCCTGTGTTGGTCCTGTTATTGTTCATCCAGATGATGTAAGACTATGCAATGTAAGACAATGTATTAAGTAAGACAACACAAAAATCCATTTATCATAAATCCTGCTGTGGAGTCAACAAAACAGCCTACAGCACACCCAGGATAATTCTAAAGTAGAATACCTAAATCCACAAAGCCAGATTGCTTCTTGTACATGAATTTGCTCAGAGTTTGCTTGCATATTTCTACAGCAACTTCCATCACTGGCTTGCATTAAAGGACTTGGGATATAAGGTTTCATCCCTGTGTATCAGCTGATCTGCAGCAAGGTTTTGTAGGAGCTCTTTTTGGCAGCAAATAGTTCAAACTCTTCTAAATCTCACCAAGGAGAGACCAAATTTAGTGCTATGCAAATAGAAATGAAAAGTCTCTATTAAACACTTTCTCCAGGCACTGGAACACTTTCAAAGCTGAGTAATTATGACTCCCCGTGGTTTCACAGGTTAAGAGAAACTAAAGAACAACTTTGAAGTTGCTTGTTGATGTCACAGATTTAAGTGTTTTATATACTTGCCATACAGAGTTCTTAAAATAAACTGTCTCAGAGAACTTGCACAGGGAATAGCGGCTATCCAGCCAAGGAGCTTGTCTTCTGCAGTGTTTACAGGCAGTGTAAGAACAGAACACAAAGTGGTTCTGTCCCCTTTATGCTATCTCAGCCTCCAGTTATCAGCACCATGTGAACCTCCTGAACTAAAGGTTTCATACCAGACATTCACGTTCAGTAGGTGTGGATCAATCTCTGAGCCTGTCCAAATCAAACATGATCTGTGGTTTATACTTCTGTGGCCAAGAACTGTATTAATATCACTTACATCTAGTGGTTTAACTTCAGAAATACAGGAAAAACATTTCAAAGTTGTTAAATTTAATGGCAAGGAAGAGGCTTCTAACCAGCACCATTTTCTTCGCGTTAATTTATCTGGAATATTCAACAGTGGGCATATCCATGAGCAGGAGGCAGTAGTATCTAAAGGAAATTGTCGATCCCCAAGCCTTGCTCTCAGCAGTAAAATGAATCCTGAAGTCTCTAAAGATGCCAATTCTTAACACTTTCTGTTAAGTATGGTAAATTATTTCTATAGTTTTTAAAATTAAACAAACGAAAAACCCCAGGTAAGTTGAAGCCATAAAATCACCAGTAAAACAGTGGAAGCCTTTGTTCCTGTTCTCTCATGTCTTTGCACTAACAGTCTTTACTTTTTGCTGGATATGTATTTCTGCAAAGTGAATAAAGACTTAGTAATCAATTTAATTAAACTCAGTAACAGACTTTTTCTTTTCCAACTTTTAAAAACACTTAGTGATTCAGATTCGGTTTGTAAAAAATTATGAGGTGTTCACTTAAAATCCTAATCCAAGGAATTGCTCAGGTACTGCAGAGACAACCCAAGGCAAGCCTACGCAGGCAGGGGCAGGCAGGGCTGAGCTCTTTTGCCTGCTGTGTTCCTGGCTGGCCAGACACAAACCAGCTCCAGCCCAAACCACACAGCCATCTTCATGTGATGTGTCCAAGTTAATAGACCTTATTTAGATACAACACTGCATTGATACTTCCATATAGCCTCAAGATCAGAGCAGGCTCCCATCAGATGTCTCAGTGGCCAGGCAGTTGAGCTCTGTCCTCCACCACACAAGCTGTCTTGAAAGCATTACTCACCCTAATGCAGTTGTTTTCCCTATAGCAAGGGACAATTCTCACATCAAATACCTCTCATTCAAGATTGTAAATAGGTACCTTAAGACACTAGATCTGAAGAAATTCATGTCTAGTTACAAAGAAATCTGGTTTCAGCCCTGCAAACTTGTTCTGACGCAAGGCTTCTCTGAAAGCCAGTGGGAAGTCTCTCATGAGCAATGTCCAGGTTGGTAAGACTCTTATAACCAGCCCCCTGACAATATTTTATTTTTTAAATTAAATTGCTTGTACTGCCCTGCTTGCAGTACTGAAGTTTCATGGGATTCTGTATACAAACAAATACCAGCAAGAATATCAACACATCTCTAAACACTGCTTCCTAAAGTACTTATGTAAGTCTATTGCTAGAGATGTTTCACATACCAAGCTGGGCACCAAGTTCACAGCACATACAAATACAGTTAGAAAAGCAAAGTCTAATTTTACAAAGGCTCCAGAATGATGCATTCAAAGTTTGCTCACAAACAGTCACACACAGAAGCCAGCAGCCTGTCTGTCCACATTTTTACTCACTTGGCTGCTTGGTCAGAGAGCAAAAAGCAAAGTCAGAATGTAATTGTGGGGTTTTGTTTTAAAGATAATGGGAAATTTTACTCTCAGGACACTACTTAACAGCACCAGAAGCTGACCACTTACAAAACACCCCATCTCATCCTGTTCTATCTTACCATACAATTATCTCAAAATACAGGACAATGACGCACAGTGTGCTATGTGTCCCAAAACCATGCAGGTCATTCAAATATTGTCTCCCCTTGCACCAACTTTTTTTTTTTTGTTCCCTTTTGCTTCAGACTGGTGATATCAATGAGACACATAAATATGCTTATTTCAACATGTCAGGGTTGGATTTAGTTAATTTGTTTTTACACTACTCACACATTTGAATTGACAGACAAGTATTTTAACATGAACAGTATTTGTTTTGAATGACAGAAGTACAAATTCAAGGCAGAGCAACAGAAACTACATTTCAGCATTCAGAGCTCTCAAGTAAGAGTTTAAGAGAATAGAAGCTTGGAACCGTGATACAGGAAACTTTCATTAAGTGTACACGTCCAATTTCCAATTAATGTAAACTAAAAGGGCCAAATTATAATCTAAAACAAAAACATCCCTCACCCTCTCCCCTTTCCGCCTCCAGTAGATTTAGTTTAACAGTATCCAGCCCAACTTCTTTTGAATTCAGGTTGAGTAAGCAAAGAGACAACTGACATTAAAATAATTACAAAACGATAGAAAATAGGGCTAAAGAAGAGGTATAATGCGGTTTTTCCACTATTAACTGATGTCTTTATAAAAGTGCCTTCAGAGTCATATAGGTAAGGAAAGCAACTCTCATGTATCCCCTGTCCAAACATTCTGGTTTCATGAAATAACCCTTTGCCTACATGAAAGGTAGACTCCCCCCTAAAATAATAATAATAATTAAAAAAAAAGTAAATAAAAGGTGGTATTTCTGGAAATACAGCTATGAAATTTTCTCAAGATTTCTCAGTTTACGTGTATATATATAGGAATTAATTTTATGTCTAGAACATCTTAAAATTTAAACAATGAGAAGACTACACTAGTACAGTTGCAGATGTTTGTAGTCTGGAAAGAATTTTATCAGTGCAGATTTACATCTTCCCAGAGCAGACGTGAAACAAGCTGGAGCAGTACGAGACTTACACATACTAAGTGTACTACAGTAACTGTTCAGAAAAAGAAAAAAGGAGGAAAACAACTGAATCATACTCTAACTAAAACAATTCTTCTGATAAAAAATCTGTGGCTTAAGGTCTACACAGAAGGACAAAGGAGCATAAATACAATGACTTGAGGTTTAAAAACATCAGAGGAAACCTGAAGAGAAAAACAGAACGAAGAAGCTTGTAAGAGCAAGAAACAAGAAGAAAACAGAGGCAAACAGAAGTAAATGTAAAGCATAAAAAGAAGTTTGTTGAAGGAAAAGGTAAATTAGAACTAAACACCTTAGAGGTGGGAGGAAGGAAAAAAAAAGCAGTGACTTATAATCATATCAGACTAGGAATTAAACTGTATTTCCCTTCACTACTGATCTATTTACATCTAAACTATCAACAAACTCTCAATAATTGTATCTGTAGCCATTATAAACCACAAATTAAGTATCTTCCCTTAATTTTTGAATTGCATCCAAAAAGAGTTAAACAACATTTTAGAAGCAAAAGATTACAAATTGGGGAACTCAAAAAGATTTGCAGCTATCAATGAGGATAAAAGCCAGATACAGGCTTTTGCAAAACAGGAAAAAGTATTTTGCAAAAGGATATGGTCAAACACTAGAGGTAGCTGAACTCAGGTAATGAATGCTGAAATACATAAGAAAAATATTTTCATCATTTGTGTGGAGAGGGGTGAAAAGAGGAGTAATATTCCCACTTCAAAGTTCCCTTGAACTAGCTGCTTTACTAGAAATCTCATCACTTTTTGCTACCCCATGAGATTCAGGTAAGTAAACCAATTCAGAAAAAAATCACAAATGTAGACCAAACACTTTGAAGAATTCCAGAAAGGGTTGCACTGAAGAAGGATTCAGGGAACTGAAAACTGAACCGAATGCTATAGAGTTAATACAGACTTTCCCACTGAAATATTATACTCATACTCACAGCAACAGATGAGCATTCCTGAACTACTTTGCTTCCAGAAAGTATGCACTTTATTGGCCTTATCGTTGATAAGACATTGCTCAGGCCTTCCTAGTGCTCCAAACAGGAAAATATTAGTGAAAACACAACTGAAGCCCTGAGCAACACTAGAGGCATTATGATACACATTTAGTTATCTGACCTATCTTCAAGATATCTGTCAAATCCCTCTAGCTGCCAGAGACAGATGACCACAAGGGAGTCCTGCTTCCCCCTTGCCCCCCAGGGTCTTTCTTGCAACAATGCAGCCAGAATTCTATCAACTTCACTTGGTTCTGGAGTGCTACAGCAAGTGTGGCCCGTTCTTCCTACTCACCATGGGGGATAGATGTGGATGACATCCTGTGGTCCGCTCTTGAGGTGAGCTGCTGTCTCTCTCGTAAAGAGGACTTTGAGTATCGGTTCTTCTGCACTGATGACAGCATCCTCGGGTGAAAGCGTAGCAGGAGACTCTTCCAGCTGCTGGCAGATGGCAACTTGTATTGTACACTCCTCAAATATTTCTAAGATCTTCACAATTAAGACACCAGATTTATCTGGAAAATAAATTAAAACGAAAAATAAAAATGCAAAATCTGGATGAGGAGAAATAAATTCTGGCACCCTAAAGATGTGCATCTCTGCTCTCTGCACATCTGTCCTGATGCAAAAAATCAATCTATGAGTAGAATGCATCACCTTAACAAAAGACCTATGTTTATGTTTTGCAACAATTTTTATTTTCTTTATAGATACTATTAACTGTGGAGAAAAAAAGCCTACCTACTTCTTCCAAACACCAATGCATTCACAAACTCCCTACAAGAAGCCCTTTCCCACCACATTTGAACTTTTAAATTTTGCAATTCATCCACTTTGTTGGGTCTTTTTTTATTAGATGCTGCAAAAAAATACATTTATTTAAAAACAGAATAATCACACTGTTAAAAATGAAGTTGTGTTTGCCTTCCTTGACCTTTCTCAAAGTAGCAGTTGTCAGGGACCAAGTTAAGAGAGTAATAATAATGGCCAGTCTTCGCGAGTGAAGATCCGGGGAAGGTTTTTACACCTTCCAGCCTGCGCATTGGATTTTTTAGGTGAGACACAGTGTGCGTGGAACTGAGCCCACCCTTTAATCCTAAGGTTCATCTGCCGGGGCCAAGCGAGCTTGGACGGTGGCAGTGAGGTCCTTAGGACGTAGGTGGGTTGCCTTTAAGGGCTAACGAGCCCCACCTGCCCGGGAGTGGCCCTGACCGGGAATCGAACCCGGGTCTCCGCGGTGATAGCGCGGCGCCTTTACCACTAGACCACCAGGGGCTGCCAGTTAAGAGAGTACACAGCATCTAAAAGCTGATGATTCACATTTAGAGACAAATGTAGAGAAAGAGGGAGTAAGATAGATGCACGGCCTAAAAATAATTATTGCGAAACTGATCATCCATTTTACCCATAGGCAATCAGCGTACGGAAGACTCTCTTGTTTTAAAGCAACATGAACAGATACCAGCATCCCCACAGTTCGATTCTAAGCGCTTTTGTCTATGCTGAACAAGGAACAACTTTGCACTGAGATGAAATTACCTCTAGGTCCCTTTGCAACAGCCACTTGGACAGACTTTGGTCTGTGCTGTAAGATTTGTTCTCATTCTCACCTAGCCCCCCTACGGATCTGTGCTCCAGTCACTGAGAAGAGAGTAGTTGTTACCTCCCTGCTGAATGCTTTGTCTATTTAGTGGGACAAGACTGGGTCTCAGAGGACAAGGGCAGCAGAGCCCCAGTTCTAGCCTTTTTGATTCACAAGTTGCATTGGAAAAAACACAGCATCCCAGGAAAAACAGCTGATATAAATTATTGTCTTCCCACAGCAAAGAAATAGGGGAGAAACAGTGAACATGATACTGGAACTTAACAGCAGAGCTGTATAGTTATTTGTTTGTTTATTTTAAGGCTCATTTCACAACTGTGAATGTTTTTCCTTTGGAAAATAAATCAAAATATTTTAGTTTGAGTTTATGAGAAACAAAAAAAAAAAATAAAATTACCCAACTCTCAAGAAATCCAAAACAAAGAAACCAGGCCCTAAAACCTTTCAGATTTATTAAATTTAATTCTCCAAAAGAAAAAAAAAAGTTGCCCCTGTCTTTATTAAATTTCATACCAAACCTGAAATAAAGTAATATTGAAATATAAAACTGAAATGTTCTCAAAACTACTTTCACATGAACCAAATTTTCATCACATGCAACATGCTTCTGCAAAGCATTCTGCTTCCCTTGAACCGGTATTTTCCAGCAGGATAAAGGGTTCCACTGACAGTCTGTCATAAGATGTACATAAGCCATTTCTGTCCAAGCCATTACAGCACGACCTCCTTTTCCAGCTCTGAGAAGCAGAAGCAGGAGAACCAGTCCTTTCTTCCAAGTCCTTTGAGGCTCACTGATGAAGAGAGAGGGTTGTCACTGCTATTGCTCCTCACTGCTGTCACCTTCTCAGAGAAAGCTGTCACATTGCAGTGCCACTCCAAATACTCACTGCACTGTGTTAATGTTTGCTTATGTGCAAACTTCTGCCAAGGGTGAGTGCTGACTAGTTTTCTATGCCTAAAGGGGAGGACTTAGAATATTCACACTTGAATTCTGTTTTGCCTGACTAGCTGCAGTTGTGGTCCTCTGTCAACCCCAAGTCATCTGGCATGCATAAACAAATTCTCCCAACCACAAAAATTCTCATCCTTTAAAGTAACTGAGCACTTAACTCCTCCCTCTAGACACACTGCACAATTTGCATTTGCATCCACTTTAAAAACCAAGTCACAAAAGAAATCAGCTTCAATTTTGAAACACACCAACAGTCTATTAAAAAAAAAAAAGTATTAAGACAGCTTGTGAGAGAGACTGTCCATCACTTCTGAACTACACATTTCTTACATGCAGAATTTTATGACAATTCTTACTGGTCATCAGTATACATGTTACTCAGCTGGTACATCAGGTTGAAGAAAATGAATGACAACCTAATAGCATTTTTCTTTTAAATACCTCTGACTGTAAAACAGTTAAAACCACTAGGTAAATCAAGAACTATATCTGTATGAAAGCATCTAAAGGATATTAGACTAAAAAAATCCTACCAAGGTACCAGAGTCTCTTGTAAGCCTCAAGTTGCTGCAAACACTGGGAGCTGATACTAAATGAAGCAGAATGCTTCTACATTAAAAGCATCTCAATTTCAACAACCAGCCAAGTCTCACACTTGGCACACATGCACATTCTACAGAACCACAATCTATTTGTTTATTTAGATGCATAGAGATAGTTTAGTTTAATTACTCTGAAATTATTATTACTGCTGATGATAGTGTTCTCTAGAACAACATGGCAAAGCACTTTGGATTGCTGGCACGTGATGAAACACCAAAGTTCAGAACGTAGCTTCAGTTTTAATTCATTTGGCTCTTGCATTGTTATGTCAATCAAAAATAAATCAAACATATGTGTCTGCACACTGGAGGCAGAATTTGCGGGTGAGGAGACTGGCTGGATCACTGCAAATTCTACAGTTTCCAGAGAAGATCACTTGTTTGTTCATCCATGTGAAAAGCTCACTTTAAGGCTTTGCAATGTTCTCTTTCACCCTTGGATAACTCACAGAAGTTCTTGCTTGCTTGCTGAATTTCTCATTCACTTAATTTCATTTGCAAAGCAGATTTACAGAATTACAGAAATTCAAACACACAGATGTGCAGATTTCATGGCAATACCTAGTAATCTTAAACAAGAAAGAATACCTTACAATAATATGTATTTTAAAAGGTTCAGTCAATAACTGTGTCCATTCCTACATTGCATATTCCTTCATTTCCCATTCTGCTGTCTAGAACACTCATGAATTTCTTTCTTCAGGGTTAGTTTTTAAGAAAATTAGTGAGCTAATCCAGCCAACTGCAAAGCCACCAAAGCACAGAAGCAAATACTAGGGAGGAAAGACCAAATGATGGAAAGTGGGGAGATGGGGCAGGAAGGGACTGTGGAAGGATGGTACTTTGCAGTGACAGTCCAACCAGGCTGGATTAAACCAGTTTCAAACAGTATCCAGTTACTTCTTTTCCGCTGCAGTGTCCAGGCTGGATTGTCCTCAAGAAGTTCCTGCAGCACCCAGCAAGGACAGACATGATGAAGTCACTGAACAGAGATAGCGGCTGTTCAAGGTGTGGTCTGCAGGCACATTTGATATCATAGGCATATATATATATATATTCTACAACTCTTGGCCAGATTCATCTTTTTTAAATCTCAATGTCCACAATGGACAGAAAACACAGGAGGGTAATGAAAACATGGGTCAAGGCACACCTAGTGCTACCTTTCAACCACCAACTCTAGGCATAATGCTATTATACTGGAAGGATCATGAGACAGAGAGAAGAAATAAGAACTGCAGGTACGTATGGAATGTTTGTTTAAAAAAAACCCTTCAGTTTACTTACTTGAAGGTAACCTTTACTCTCCACTGCACATGCACACTCTCAGAGTGAGCATACAGCTGCCTGGATGCATTTAGAAACCTTCCTGAAGCAGCAATTTGAGGACTGCTTAAGAAAGCTCTTACAGAATCAGAGAATATCTCAAGCTGAAAGGGACCCATAAGGATCATCAAGTCCAACTCCCTGCTCCTCGCAGGACCACCTAACACTAAATCACAGAACAAAGAGCCTCCTGCAAACGTTCCTTGAACTGACAGGTTTGGTGCTGTGGAGAGCCTGTTCTAGTGATAAACCATGCTTTCAGTGAAGAAACTTCTCCAAATATTTAATCTGGTTCCAGATGCGTCTGCATCAGTGAAATGCTTGAGGGAGATAAAGATGGAAACCCAGATAGCTGCCTGATCATTTCAGACACAGGTGCATTTCTCAGCAAAGCCCTGAGTGCTCTGAGCTCGGGTAACAGAGGGTTGCTGCAGCTCAGTGGTCCTGGAACAGAGCCTAGCATGGACAGCTGCCCCTTCCAGCATCTTTGCATAGCCTTCACACAGAGTCAGCTGGAAAGTCAGAGAAAATGATCCAGGATCATTTGAAATATCTGGCCCCATGAGTATAAACAGAGGGCTTATTCACCCCAGGGGCATGAAGTATAATTCGATCCCTGATACACAAGGCTCAAGGTACCACAAAGAAAGATAGAAAGGCACTGATAAATCTGGCTGATAGGAATTTTGAAGAGATATTTGGGATGTACAACATGTCTCCTCTAAAAAAACCCCACACGTTTAAAAGGAAGGGAACTCAGCCACCATGGTGTGTAATGCTTCCTCACTTCTACCAGAATCTTCCATAAGAAGAAAAACCATCACAAAGACATGCAGTAATATGCTGGCTATGAGTGAATTGAAATGTTGGTCACAGAAAGTCTGGAGTACAAGAAAAATGTACTTATAATAACCAGCCATGAGCCGGGTTAGTCACATCACTCTTTGCAGAGCACTGCCTTGGTAAGTGCCACCCACTGAAAGGCAACAGACTTCGCAAGTGATCCAGAACAAGTGAAACCAGCAGGACGGA